ATATTTTGGCGGTTAGATTTAAAAAAGAATTGAGTCGTGATAGCCGTCAATTTTGCAATGCTATCGTGAGCTATTAGCGCGTATTGTACAGCTCCGCCCCGCTTCGATGATATAAATATCAATTATATGAGATCACGCATATGTGTGTCGAATCTCGCTAACATACTGTACGGTTTGTTTGTTGTTATTATTGTTGTTGTTGTTGTTGTCGATATTCTTGCTGCATTTCCTAGATTGGAAAAGCTAGTAATTTAATCCACATTGACCGCCAGGCAAATCTCACAGCTACATAACGACACGTCTACAATTACGTTGACATATTATATAGGCCAAGGGTAACAGCAGATATAATTACTATGTCTAAGTATAATAATGTCTCCATGTGGCTAGCAGTTAACAACGATAATCCACGCGCACGTGGCCTGCATGACCTGAGCGTGGCGTGAAGTCCGCTAAAGACCTAAGGATAGCACTTGAAGTAATGGTTTCAATTGAGAATTTCCTCTATTCTCCTGACTAAGTAGGTATATTATGTCTTCTCTACCAGGAAAACACTTCGTTTCCTCCGTAACCCGATTTTTGAGTCAGCACGAAACACGTGGACATGGGGCTACTAAGAATGGAAGTCTTTCTAATAACAATACTACCAATGATAATAACAATTATTGTCACATGTCCGTGGCGCTTGTAGAGGACCAACGGCTGACTCGACAAATACGTAGACTAGACTCTTCCAGTCAGATATGTCTGGTCACGAACAGCCCTATCATTAAGCAACAACAACAACAACAAGATCGACATTAACAGATCCAGGCATAACCACGATAACGAAGTTTGCATGCTCATTGGAACGGGCTGCTTATATGCGGAAACATGCGCGACGTATTACATGTTACAGAAAGGGATTCCACTTCACTCTGTACTGTATTGTTATAGCAACTATTGCTTCTGCTGCGATTGTTACCACAAATCCGTATCCAGAACAAAGGGCTTCCTGACTATTGAGGAAGTTTCTGTGCCAAGACACGACGTGCCGTAGAAGGCGAGGGCAGGTCGCTCGCCCTAGGCGGCGAGGTGCCGCTGCTGCTTGCACCGCACGACGATGCCAGCGTCGTTCATCCTGATGTGATGACATTTATGGGAAATGAGCAGGCTAACAATGTGGCCGACAATGGCTGCCTGCAGTACTGGAATCGATGGTTGCGGCGGCTTGGGCAAAAGGGTGCACCATCGAAAGCATTGTGTTTGTGTTCATAGCGGTGGTCTACCGATGGATTACCGCGTCTGACGAACGAATTGCTTTGCGTTAGCGTTGCGGTGGAACGCGTATGATACCCGCCTAATAGCGTCCGACAGCAAAACGGATGAAAGGCATGATTCCCCGTGCCATGGCTGAAAAGCGCCAGGCTACAACTAGAATTGCTGCTCGTAGTCGTTACTTACAGCCGAGAAGTGGGTAAGCGGACACGTGATAATGAAATTCAAACATGGCGATATTTTTAAAGCGACAGTGAAGAAACGGGGCTATACGAAAATAGAACTGGCAATAAGGTTGACGTAAGGCACCTTTTTTTTAGGTGATTCCGCCTTAGTCTATCGGTCCAGTTGGTTTTCTGCTTCTTTTTACGTTTAACAATAATAATAATAATAATTAAAAATTAGCAATCATGTTTGTCAATAGGACACGATACGCTTGATGCCGGTTTAGGGTATTCTCAACTAGCAAAACAAGTGTACTCAGAAGGGGCCAGAATTTTCTCTCGATTTATTGAGCAGAAACACTAGAACGGCAAAAGAGCATCCAGTCGCGCTCTTTACTAAACGAATCTTTATTACGATGCCATATTGTTTAGCGATAATAGATTCAAGTTGACAAAAAACTATCAGCTTTAACAATATGTGATCATCGATCAATCCACCTTATTACTGTGATAAAATACTATCCATAGGATCGTCGACTAAAATCTGTCTTAATTTATGTCTCACATATATTTATATATATATATATATATGAATCATAAATTAAGCCAAGGTAACGCCTTATGCCATGTATTATTGATGGTGTGTAGTGAAATAGGACTAACTAACAATGACTGACATAAGCATGATCGATAGTGTTTGATAGCGTCGTAAACTCTCCAGTTTACACATGACAGAGGACAGAGCGCTGGCATTTCAGAAGACACGATATAAGCAACTGGACCGCTGCTTTCTTCAACAAAATAATTTTCCCTCTCAGTAGATCTTGATAGGCGCATCGTTTCCACTAACATATCCTGGATAAAGGTCTTGGGAAGGAAAAAGGACCTCATACTCGGTATATCGTTGAAAAAGCTCTAATTATACGCTTACGAGTTTCTCTGACTCCTTGTGCAAGTAATCGGATCGATAGTCCTATGTGCGTTAGCTATTTAGCCGGTAATGGCTTCAGCGATACAAAACCGTTCGTGCGAGCATTAACGAACAGAAAAATTTCTGCTATTAGACTCATCAAAAAGCGTATAGGACTGTGACAACTAAACTCCTCTCGTCCTCATTCTCGCTATTTCATAGTTGCTATTAACACGAAAAGAGATCCAAAGATACATAGATTCCATAATTAGAAAAGGCAGGCTAGATAATAACTATGTGTGATACCGTCGAGTGAGCCGGAAGGCCATGCCTGTGTCAACGCTAGCGTGCCTGCTTAGTAAATTTAACGATACGTATAATTGTCTAGGTTCGGAACGAGATCAGGAAGCCATACGGCGAACTAAGTTGTCACGGCGTATAAGCATTTATCAGACATAGTCATTTTCAAAATGCTTGTTTGGAATTTGCTAAGGCATCGCATACATTGTCCTGCGTCCACTGTCCATTGGAAAAGAGGAATACTAATCACGCGTTATTCAAATGCGCCCGTTTTAACAAAACCAGGCTTAGCACGAATGTCCGAAGAAGGAAGCTTTAGTGAATCAGAGACGGAAGGAGGCAAGGTTGCACTAAGAGGTGACTGAAAATCCAATGAAAGAAATACTGGAGATAAAGGAAGACTATAATCGACACATACTAACTAAACAGTTTTGTGATTAACAAGCTCAAATTATAACTTAAAGTTTATACCGCAGTAGTTTTAACCTGCTCGTTGAAAGTTCTAGTGAAGAATTCGTTTCTCTCAGAAACATGGCTTCTCTACTGTCCTAGGATCAAGACGAGCATCGCCGTCCAATAAGCCGCGTCTCACCATTCATTCTTTCATTGAAATGAAAAAAGGTCATACGGCCAGGACCGAATACGCGGCAGCGCGTTAACAACCAGAGCGTGAATCAAGCAAGCCATTTTCTCGTTCCATCGGCGTTTTTGCGATTCGATACTTTTAATCAGGAAAGAACAACTCTGCAGACCGTCGACGACAATAACGAAAACATCGATTGCGTCCGAAGTACGCCGAAGAACGATGAATGAGGACGACGGTGTTTGCTCGACCGTCTATTCACCGTTCTCCCCTAACGATTTTTCCACTTTACGAGGATTATTGCCCTCACGACTACGAATTGCCGTTAGATTTTTCGCTAGGAAAATTAACAAGAAGCGAAATTGACGTACGAAATTAAGTCAGTCAAACGGGGGAAAACACGTTTGGTAGACACAATTCTCATTCGGGGTATCACTCATTTCGTTTATTTCGAATAGAACGCTATCGATGGCCCCAGATGCAACGATTGCTAGCTAGTTGAAACATAGAATACGGGTGTCAAAAATATAGTGGGTATCAGTTGATTTGATTAATGATAATAATAACAATCGTAGACTATAGAGAACGACAAAAGGAAATTTGCTACAGCTAAATTACTGCTTCATTAAATATACTTAGGCTAGTTGGCTGAATTTTTCTAGTGATAAAAATTGAAAAAAACAGTCTAGAGGCACTTTCGCTAAGATTTACACGAATAATAAGGCAAACACGCACATACCATATATAAACCTACATATATATATATATATATATATATATAGACCAACGATCAACAGGAGACCGCTAGAGCAATTGTGTTAAGGGAGTCTGACGCCGGCCTACTTTAATTTCCAATGACAGGAACACGTTCCACTGCGGCTATAAGGTGACGACTTGGCGCCATCAGAGACACATTCCTCGCTCCGAGCGGTGGAACCCATGTCGTTAAGGCCTTGATAAACGCCTTAGGCTCTGTTGATTGCTTCTAACTTTGCGACGTAACCGACTCTTGAAGATGACCACTTGGTTATAAGATCAGTGATCGCGAACGGACGCGGACATACACACCGATGTATGTTCTGGCCAAGCAGCAATAAAAAGAACATCGAGCGATTATAGACACAAAGAAGAGAGAAGTCTGGACAAACCCTATTGGACAAAGGCAGCGGTCTGTATCGAAGTTGGTCAGGACCAACCGGGCCGCGAATATTGTTAAAGGAAATATCTGAAACAAAGCCTCAGGCTGAAACTTACGCATGAACTAAATGATATATTAAAAAGCATTTTTGTTGTAAATATTTCACTAATTCGTGTAGAATTTATGTGTATTTTCGTAAGTTAGAACTGCACGCATCTATGGGGGGGGGCTAACTTCCGACATTCCGACAACGCTATCGTATAGCTTGAACAAATTCTTTTTCTACACGAAGAATGGCTGCTTGACTCAATCAATAATCCGCAGAAAAGACCAATGTCGTGTAGGTTCGCTATTGCGCGATTTATAGATACGTTCGGAACAAAAATTGTCCATAATTGTAATAACTTTAAGAAGAACATAAAAGAGTATGATCCTATCCTAGCTATGGCTATTGAACACAGAGCGGAGGTAATTCTTAATCTTTCAGTAGATCTCATTAAGTTATCACACTCGAAATTTACATCACCGCTTTAAGCAGAAGGCCTTTAGCAAAAGTACCATAGTAGAAAACTACGAGGTGTTTGCCTTAGATGTTTTGAGGGTAAATCCTTTGACCAGTATTTCGCGTGTCAGGCGTCACTTACCCACCTTTTTCTCATTAGAGCCGATACTTCTGGGAAAACTTGCCCCACTGCAGTAATGTAGAGGTTGTTCCTTTTCGAATGCGTCTTGTTGTGACGGTTCATCAGTTTTCGACGACGAGCTAGTAGAACGGCATCTCTCGGCCCTCAGACAAGCATCACATCGATTCTGTGCACAGAGACGGTCAATCTTCAGTTTGGCCGATTTATTCTTCACTGATGAGATGCTCCAAGATATACTTTTATCCAACTCCATGGTATTGTCTTCTCAGAAAATCATTTCGTTATGTTCAGGGCACACAGATAAGTGGGAAAGGAGACACAACAAAATCTAGCCTTAGCAGTTCACTCCATTTATTACGCGCACTTAAAATTTCATGTTTGTGCCCATACAACACTATTATGTTTATCGAATTTTAGTCGCGAGTCAAGTCACAACCCGAAGCAATGGCCAGGTAATATGTGATTATTTGACCTCAGCTAAACATTCACGCTTTTGTCATTAAGCAGATTCTTAAGGACCAGTATTGCAACTCAAACAATGTTGTGATACACTGTCGAGTTCCACTAGTCTAATTGACATGGCCTAAGTACGTAGTCATCATGGATGCCGTAATACAACGACCCATGATCTCCTGAGATTTTTCTTACGGTTTGGCAATGGCCTATCGTCCATCGACTGCAATTCGACAATGTTCAGAGTCGATCGCGTTATGAGGCCAAGAGATACACTTGGCCGTCTATTTCAAAGACCAGTTAGTTAGAGCTGTTGTTGATCCAAGCCGATATCTAGAACTCTTTTTGCCATCTGTTCACTTTTCCGTTTTGTGCTCATGAGCTTGGCGATAACGTCATCCTTCGTGAGGGTCAGACAAACGTTACCCTTGGTGTGACTTATCCAAGGGCTGTTATGATGGCTAGGCAGTTCTTTATGTGCGATATTCGATAGTGGTTTCGCTCGCACGGACGGGCTTGCATTTTTCCGGAACAGCATTAACTAGGAAATGAAAGCCACTGGTAGTGGATTGATCGAGTTTACTGAAAGGCCAGGGAACGCCAAACAATCAAGGGCTGCTTTATAGATACAATTAATTTGCATTCCCTTGATGCAATAGCCTATGTTAAATATGTCGCTTCCAGCATCCGACGCTGTCATAGTTACATCTGTACATTCCACGGCCTAACCGTACGGATTTAATGACTATTCAGTATTTTGCTCGACTGGTAAAGGCTCTGTGAAAGTACTGAACCAGATTACAGTTTTCTGAATGATATAATAGAGGCCGTTTCGATGAAATTTTTTCCTGTATAAATTCTACTTTCTGAAAGGCTCGGTGGCAGTTCAGGGAGTTCTAGCTGGGATTGGTGCGGGTGATACGATTTCGCTTAGTAATACTAAGTTTACGAAGCATTTGCAAAAATGTTGACGATTTTCTTCAGCAGTAATTGATGAAACTGCTAATATCTTCACTTGGTCAAAACGTGAATCAGTGATTATGCTAAAGATTTACTTCTTTTTGAACAGACCCTAATCCTCTTTTTTGCTTCAACATACGAAGTAGATGGCCATTCAGTGTCCGTAAAAAGTAGTATACTATTTTACTGACTGACTGACTGACTATAAAAAAAACACTGCGGATTATGACTGCTAAATACTAAATGAATATCATGCGAGACAAAAATGAGACGCTGCTGCATATAGATCACCGATTCCTTATACCCCAAATATTCGTCATTTTCTAAAAAAAAAATCGGTTTAAGGAAAAATTTCAGAAAACACTCGGATAAAGATTTTCCAAAATACACATTTACGGATTTTCGGAGAACAATACTGTAACGGGAACATACGGAACAACGAAGGCATTCCCTGGGCCTATCATATTAAATGATAAACAATGTAAGAAACAAGTGCAAGTTTAACGGATTATGTATTCTATAGACGACATGTTGGCTTTAAACAAAGTAATGCAATACAAGTACCCATTAACTTCGAATTCTGTTTACTTTGTCACGATAAGAATAGTTGCTGCCTACAAAAACAATCAAACTAGGCTTAAAGGCTGCTGATTTCTTCAAATTGTAGAACAATATTTTAGGACGTATGTTTCAAGCCATTCGAATTAAAAACATCCAGATCGACGTGTCTGTTTACTGACACGCAAAGCACTCCTGAGCCATTGGCAGAAGGGACAAATTCCGCAGAAGGACTACAAACCTCGGAACAATTACTGTTGCTTCCGAAAATTCAGAAAAATAAGTTGTGTCAGAAAGTGCTAAAACCGACAAAGGCAGAGCTTTAGCATAATAATCTTGAGCAAACTTACATAGTTTTTAATGTGAGATTTGCACATCCACATGCACACTTGTACTTCAGAGGGTCAAAAAATAGGGATCCCTTGCACGCCGAGTTAATGAATCTTGTTCCGAATTAGATTGGTTAACAATTTGCTAATGCTGGTAAATACACGACTAGTATTTCTAGTGGCATGTCTGATCCAGATCATCCCCTGTACTTCGGTGCCATATTTGAAGGTGTCGGGATACCACAGAGAGCTAAATTTCTAAGCTACAGCAAACGCTTATTAATCGAGAATGATTTGGTTTTATAAGATTTCAGTTAAACTGCTCAGACAATGCTGTAAAGCGTTTTCAGATATCTTTCATATCTAGACCTATCAATTTTTCGTCTTATTTTACTAATTATAAACAATCTTTCCTCAAGAAGCCACGTTTTTATTAAGATGTGAACTATCCTTAACCATTGTCTCTATTGCCTTCAATCACCAAAGTATCCAATATAAACATTACCACCTATTAAAGATTACCACCGAAGTCACAAGGTTCTGTGGCTTTAATAGGACATCTTGTACAGCTAACAAAAAAGCGCTGCCAATCGAGACTCTCCACCATCAGATATCAGAGTTCTAACGTACGAATTGATTGTGCATCGAAAGTTGGCAGACACCACCGGTTTACCAAAGTATTCTAACTCTTAAATTCGGTCACGGTAATGAATGTTGCAGTACCGCCTTTAAGCTAATTTTTACTGAATGTTTGATTCAAAGCAACGTTTCGTATCACAACAATGAATCTATCTATTAAGTCTCTTATGTGTATCTTCATTTAAGTATGTTTTGGTTATGTTACAACTTTCTAGAGAACTTTCTAGAAAGTTCTCTTAAGAATCCACTGTTAGATGCTTAGACCCGTTGCTAATGTTTAATCCCATTAGAAATGCGTAAAACATTACTGCATAAACATTAGAAAAAATTAACCAAAAATAAACCTGTTATATATATATATATATATATATATATATATATACATATATATATATACACAATGAGACATATGCTGTTTCATCTTTATTCTGTGGTGTTAGTTATCAAAGACTCAAAAACGTGACAGCTTTTTGGAAACCCTGCTCCATGCTAGCTACTGCTGATTGCAAATCAAGAGACGTCAATCAACCGTTAAGATGAGAAAAATCTAACTGTTCTGCCCGCCTCTTAAGCCCCGCCCTCGGGCGCGAACGAAATCTTCGCCCTTAATCTGTACTGCGCTAGAATCAGTCTGCATTGCTTCTCAGTTCTTCACTGCCCTATATCAATTAGGCCATCATCCTCCAATCCGACAGCGTATTTTATCGCAAAATCAATGATTGCATTTCGATAATGATCAATTCCGACTTGAATCATTTGAATGAACGACAACACGGTAAATCTATACAGAATTGCGTCCGTACATTTACACGATTATACTACACAGATATTGCTTTAATTAAAACTATAGCTGATATCTACAAACAACAGTCCCTGAATAAATTAATAATCTGAACGACCTGAATGGATAACTGAATTTTGATGACGGCTATGCTACATGAGCCTACTATTCAGGATGGCTTTTCAAATCCACTAATCTGTCACATATATTCGACCGGTATCGATAGACCGATGGCTTCAACCGACACAAGCCAACCGCCTATGGTCTTTGTAATTAAGTTCTCTAAATATGAGAGAGTCATCTTTCTCATGCAGCCGAAGCTATAATGAGAAATTCAGGGGAAAAATAAGTTTATTTTTAGTAAAGTCATACCCAGTCGTGCCACGGCAGTGGGCAATAGGTACACAAAGCCAATCATTTTAACATAGAATGCAGCTCTGCCATACAGCTATAGACCAACGTTAAACGAACTATAGAGGACGCGAAACGATAGAATCGCTTCGTTTCGCCTGGGCTTTCAGCCATCACACTACTCAAGCAGCTCATTCAGTAAAGAATCGTTGGAGACAATTTGTGCACGGATTGAACACATAATAGATTAATTTATACGTAGATGATTACTATCTGTTAGTATAAAAACGTTGAGCTTGTGTCTGTGAACACCTGTCGTATAATCGAAACCCGTTAGAAATAAGACAACCAATCAATAGCTATGTACAATAACAAAAAACATGTTGTTGATAAGTACCAGTCGTGCACATTACTTTCGCTAATGCTAGAATTAAATTGAAAAAAAGTAGGATCGAAACGCAAACTAATCAGGCCGAACCTTGCTTCACCTCTGTCCTAAATCTTTTTTTTTTTTTTTTGTATCCTTTAAGCCACACAGGAAGTTGCACATATGTATATTCCAGTCTGACTAGCGATGCAAAAGCGTGTCCAGCACCCGGTAACAGTCGGAAACTTAGGGACTAGGACACCCTCACGGCTTTGGTTGGTGCGACGCACATGAATCAGACAGATGCCAACGCCAGACGCGAATGTATTGATTCGGTTCTGGCCGAGACAAACGAACGTTCACAAAGGAATCATCTTCATCGCTGCCCTCAGGCTGCGCTGCTCCTGTTGACGATACCGACCATATGGGTATACTTCAGCGAAGAACAATTGGGTAGCTTTATAAAAAGACGAGTTCACAATATGAAGCCGGCATCAATCGCAGTACTAACCGTAAAATAGGCCCAACCTCACTGTGTACTGCGTGCAAAATCAGAATCCTCCCTTCACACATACGCATACTGCTAATCTTGCATCCAAAATACGGACGCGATCAAAAACACCTACCTACATACTCGGCCAAATCGTTCACAAACACACGCAAAAATAGCCGCGAACGGCGCGTCGACGTCGACGTCGACGTCGACTGCAGCAGCGACAGCGGCACCA